TAAAACAGTGCTGAAATTTATTGGAAGTAATATTGTCCGGCAAAGGAACGAAATGCACGAGAGCATTCCTATAGAAATGCACAGAAGCGCCGAAAAAGTGGGCTGGTTGTTGTCTGCTTCAATTTGAAACTGGGAAGCCGCGTAGATAGCAGCGCCCGTGGAACCTATAGCGTACATTATAACTCTATGGGTGTTTCAACCCAGACGCATCCAAAGTACAAACTTCAAGCACTCCTAGTCTGCATATAGGTTTACTCCTAAAACAATTCTGAAATCATGGAGGTGAGAAGAGGAGGTGACACACCGGCTCAATTGAGCCAAATGAGAAACTCCCCAGTGAAACCGAAAGTAGAGGATTCGGTTGGTGCGAACGCCCGCAAGGGTGACCAAAACGCAGGCAATACAACTGTTCAAACTGGTTGCGCCAAATCATCAGTCATTTTCCTCCAAAGACGTCTTTTGGTTTTGGTCATGGTTGGGGCCCTGGCGGCGTGCTCATCCGAATCGGAAGCCTTCCCCAGATTCCCCTTTGGTGGCATCATGCCCACTTCAGAGGCTTCCTACTTTCATAGCTGAAATCTATCGGAAGTCATATCTTTCAGATTCTTCAAAGAAAAACGAACATTGTGCGTGTTAACAAGATCAGAAAGGCGCTACTGGAGGGAACTCCTCAAAGAGGGCTTCCCGTTGGCCTGAGTGTACGGTGTTTGAATGAAGACACATCCACGCTAGAAACACTAAAGTCGGCATACAAGCTTTCTCTTAAAACAAGGCTTAAATTTATCAGAAGCCGTCTTTGTTTACGTTTACCGATCAGGAACAAACACTGCAGTGTACTAGAATACGGGGTAGTATTGGGACCTGAGCGGATCGCGTAAGGTGCGTGGTATAGATCGCAACCTGTGTCGCCACCGGCGCATCGCGAGTAGGGTGGTAGGGTTGTGCGCGTACACCGCGATAAAGGCGTTGCGAACGGTGGCGAACTCCTGATATTCGTCAAACTTTGCGTACTGCGGCGACTTTATACTACTGTCACGACTGCAGTGTCGCGAATCCTGACTACACGCGCAGCCTTACGAGCTCCTATCCCGACACTTGCCTCTCCCAACACTACCTGATATTGCAGTACACTGTAAAACACTGCTTGGGTTAAGGGAAGCAGCGAGGCGATAATGGTCGGAACGCCTCAGATATGGATTACTGTCCGTGGGCGTGAGTGAACGGTGTTTCAATCCAGACGCATTCATGCTAAAAACTTCAAACCCTATTTCTCTGCATAGGGTTAGCTCCTAATAACAATGCTAAAATTGATCGGACACACATTCTTTAGATTTTCTTAGCTGGAACGGGCAATACATGTGTTAACGTGAGCAGTTGTCAGCCAGGGTTGTGCTGAACGCAGCAACCGCATATAAAAGAGCAAAGCATTTGGTATGACTATTAAGTCAAACGATGACAGAAACAGACTTTTTTTTGTCTTTGATATCACCCTTGGTACATCCAGATCAGGCCACATTCTTGTAGAGCGAATCTTATTCCTCATTTTGAATATTCGGAGCGTTATTAAGCGGATTAAGTAAGTTAAAGAACATCATGAATACCTCGAGCAGCGAACACAAAAGATACTAGTACTGCCGGTAACATTCGTTACAAAATTATTGGTAAAACAATACCTGCGCAGGATAAGCCTGCAGTTTCAAGTCACATTTCTGTTAGGTGTAGGAGTGTTGTTTACTGACAAAAAAAAACGGGGTCTGTGCACTGTGTATATACAGTATATTTTTGTTCCTGCAGTTGTTCTACGCGTAGAGTTTGAAGAGCGTGGTCTAGCGGATGTAAATGGGGTAAAAACTACGATATGTTTTTTTTTTTTTTTCACACAGTTAGCGAGACCATTTGGAAAGCATCCAATAGTCAGTCTTATTTCCTCGCCGGTCCTGGGTAATCTCAAATTTATCTGTTCAGAGAGAGCAGAGCTTCGATTGTTTCGGTAAATACGGCACAAAACCTCATTAAAATTAGGACCTCAAACAGATTTCAAAAATATCAAAATAACTGAGGAAATTACCAATATTACGCCAATTGTTTGGGTAACGATAATAATACCTAGAGAAGGAGAATAAAGGGGGCAAAGGACAAATACAATCTTCAAATACCGCTAGGTGACTGATGCGTGACTGAAAAAATCCCCCTGGTCCTGGCAACGAACCGGGGAGCTTTCCATTACCAGTGGACTAATCTACCAACTGAGCTAACCAGGAATTAGGGGTCAGTAAAGCAAACGGCTTTTTAACAGCTGCCACCAGTTTAACACCAACAAAGGTGAACGGCCTGCATTTTAAGGTTATGATGATAATGCAATTAATGCAAAGGTGTAAGCTAGCTGGACAAAAATAATGATAATAATCCTTAGAGAAGGGGAACAAAGGACGCAAAGGAAAAACCCAAATCTCCAAACACAACTAGGTGACTGATTCGCGACTGAAAAAACCCGTCGGGTCCTGGAATCAAACCAGGAAGCTCTACATTTCCAGTGGAGCGCTCTACCATATGAGCAAACGAGGAGTTTGGCGCCAGTAGAGCAAACGGGGTTTTAAAAGCTGCCACTAGTCTAACACCAACAAGGGTGAACGACTTGCATTTTTAGGTTAGGATGCTAATGCAAATAATGCAAAAGTGTAAACCAGCTGGACAAGAATAACGATAATAATCCTTAAAACCTCAAAAATGGCAGCCGTTCCTCCTTTTTGCTGTTAGACCGGTGGCAGCTGTTAAAAACCCGTTTGCACTACTGACGCCTAACTCCTGGTTAGCTCAGTTGGTAGAGCGCTCCTCTGGAAGTGCAGAGCTCCCTGGTTCGGTTTCAGGACCCGGTGAATCGTTTAAGTCGAAAACCAGTCACCTAGCTAGCTGTATTAGGAGATTTATGTTTATCCTTTGTCCCCTTTGGTTCCCTCCTCTAAAGATTATTCTCGTCCTTCCTGTCCAGCTTGCTTGCACCTTTGAATTAATTGCGTTATCATAATAACCTTAAAATGCAAGCAGTTCACCATTGTTGGTGTCAGACTGGTGACAGCTGTTAAAAACCCGTTTACTCTTCCGATGCTTAACTCTTGCTTCGCTCAGTTGGTAGATTACTTCTCTGTTGATCGGGAGGTCCCCGCTTCAATACCAGTACCAGGCGGATTTTTTCAGTCGAGTACCAGTCACCTAGCTGTGCTTGGAGATTTATTTTCACCTTTTGTCGCCCTTGTATCATTTGATGACCTTCTACAGGGATGATTTTTGTTATTCGTGTACAGTTCAAATGTACCTTTGCCTTGATTGCATCATCATCATTGTGTGGGTATATTTTTTGTTTTTTCTGTAATGCATGAGGATCTTGTGCTTTTTGAAACAACATTTTAGCATTTTTATTTTTACTTTAAAGAAAAATACATTTACCACAAGTTTAAATTACTTGGATTTAATATGCTTATAACCAATAAGCGTGGTTTAAATACGCACTAAATTACTAGTACATTATCCTCGACAAAAAGCAAAGAAACCGCATTGTGTTGCTTGTTTTTCTTCAGTTTTAAAGAAATCCTCCTAAAGCATAACTTATCTCTTCCCATGTCCCTATGTGTAATAATATCAGCGTGTAAAAGTGTCTCCAAAGATGGTGTTTAATGTACTACGTTTCATAGGCTAACTTTAGTGTCAATATTTTAAATTTCGTTTTTTTTTTTTTTTTAACTTTAACTTCAAAATTTTTGTTAGTGTCAATGCTCGGTATACAATACTGCCAAAATGATTATATTCTTGCGCAATTTATTTCCTAGAATTTATGTTTGCAAAACAAGTGAGTTGTCTAGATACAGAGAGTGTTTATGTGACGTCATGATTCAGTGCGGGTTTGCTAATGGCCATTGCTGAGGGCAACGCTGGCTGTGAACTTCAATGCGCTTGGCGTGCGTACACAATCGTGCAAAGATGCACTTCTACCATCGCTCCTGGTGTCTGTCGTGTGGTGTTCCCTCAGTTCAGTTTCTTGTGATATTTTTCTTTAAATGTTCGTTTATTTTTTGCGGCCCTCCGTCGTTACGAACCTCCCCTCCCACCTCCGAGGAGAGGGGCCAGCCTGTGAGGCGCAGTTCAGGCACTAGCGGCCCCGTCGCCCCGCTGCGAGGTACGAATGTCTGTTCCATCCGGGACCGATGTTGATCCCCATCGATGGGGGCTGAACGGTTTTCTGGCAAAAGATGTCCTGAGCGTTGGTTGCGGGCGTCTGTCATCCTCAGGGGTATTTGAATAAATGTAAATATGTTTTTCCCTCAAGTCGTCATCGTTCAAAACTGCCTCGCCATCGAAGTCACCAGCCGTGATGGGGAGTTCTTCAACACCTGGCGTCTCTCTTCACCCGAACAAGAATTTGACTGTCACTGTACGTATTTTAAAGTCCACGTGATCGACTGACTGAGCGTGCCCGAGGGCCACTCTTCAAGGACAGGTACCCTCGAGGACCTTCGTATTGCCAACGGGAAGTCGCGAAGGTCTAAAACGGATGACCAACTAGCCCACCTTAATATTTTATTGAGAAGCCGCGCTTGCACGGAGTGTCAAAAAATAACGCGTGCAACTCGAAGACCTTTCAAAGGTAGAGTAAATTGTAATGAACGATTACTTCATGCTTGAATCAAGAACTATCATTTGTTAACCCTTCTCAAGAACAACTGTTCACTTTTGCGACTATAAAATAAGTACAACATATCCGTTCAGCGTTGGTTATAGCCGATTCACACGACGGACCGAATCGCGATTTTCGTCCGCGGACCGTGTACCACGTGACTGGCACGTCACCGATTCCTGCGATCCGCGCCTCCTCCGCGGAGGCGCGGAGTGATAAAGTCAAGCGCCTTTTTCACTCGCGGATTTTTGACGGAGGATATCGAATGCTTTGGCTTGAAAAACATAGTTAGTTTGGCAACAGTGAAACTTTCCTGGTTTGCGCGGGAAAGATGGCTGGCGAACCGTACTCCAATTTTGCTGTCCCTGGCCCTTCGTACGGCTCAAAATTAAGCGATGAAGCAAGCATGTTTTTTATTTCGCTTGTGGAGCATTTCCCAGCGCTTTGGGACATGACGATGAGCGAGTACGCCAACAACGCTTTGAAAGGCGCGTTGTGGCGACAAATCGCCGACGAGATGGAGGACCGCTACCCTGAATGCGGCCCGTACGTCCCCGGTACGTATTATGACTATGATGTACTCCATTTCTTATTCCGTCCGAGCATGCAGAAAACATTTGGGCAGTACTCACGCCACCCAGTACACCTATTTCTTTAAACTGTTCGCCGCGTTTCCCATTACTGTGCGTGCAGTGTGGCGGGTCGCCCGTAGGGAGACTCGATCTCTTGCTTCGAGATGGTTCGGTTGCTTTAAAATAGGGGCTCCCCTACGGAAGCACACCTTTCATTGTTCTCTCTGCTAGACTGCGAACAGAAAGCTATTCTTACCAAGCCGACCGATGAACTCTTATTGCGGAGATCGCGCAGTGTGACGCGTGTTGTATCTAGATTTGAAGTTTTTTTTTTTCTCTTTTTTTTTTTTACGGTGGGGGATCGCTACTGCTGCATACATTGGTGTTCAATGGTATTGAACCCTGCAAAGCTTGTTTACCTGAAAGTGCAGGAAAAAAAATTGCTTACACACTGATTGTGCCCTGCATTACCCGCAGCCCTTGAAGAGTAAAATATGTTTTGTGTTACAGATACGCTGAAGACATTCTTCAATAACAAAAGGAGGACCTACCGTGCAGAGAAAAAAAAACTGGAGTCATCGAAAAGCGGCCAAGCTTCCAGCGATTCCTACAAGGGCAAATGGAAGTTCTTCCATTGTCTGAACTTCCTAGATGCTGCCAAGCCGACAGGGACAAGGACCTTCAGCGAGGCTTTTGAGGTGGCAGAGCCAGAGGCGGTAAATTTTGTAGCTGCCTTATATATGCCATTCCAGAAGTCATTGCGATACACTGCTATCTGTTGTGTAGATTCTTGTTTTGAGCGACTATCCCCTTTTGCATGCTAAGAAAAGCTGAACAAGCTCCTCCCACTCTTTTCACTTTAGCAAGAGAAAGCTGGAGAGGAGGCAAGGAGCGACCCACCTTCTGTCCCGTGTTCACTCGCTGAAGTGGAAAGAGGAGCATGATCTCTTCCTGCTTTTCTTAATTTGCACAATAGACTTGTTACGGTTACGCCACTACAGTGACAACTGAAACATTAAGGCAAGACGTGCAGCATCAATCGAGTAATTTTTGCGTGCAAGTTTTGACAGCGGGAAGTTGGACTGCGCCAAGCGCTGTCCTTTATCTCCACTGTAAATGAGAAATTCAGCCATTGCAGTACAAATGCCAGCTTTATATCATTTTTTCTAAATTTACGAGCGTTTATGAATTTTTTAGCCATTCTGTGCACACACTCTGTGCACGCATAAGCACTTTACATACTGTCAGTGTGAATTACAGTGGCACATGTTTATTCATGAGACGAGTACATAAAGCTAGGGATGCAAGCAGGAACACCGAATACTTTGCTCAAGTATATTGGGCACATGGAGTGCATTTCAACTGTCATGAGGTACCATACCCTCATATGAAGACAATATAAAACACCTGCTCTAACATAAAAATACAGTCAGTTCTTGAACATCTTGTAAATTAAATGATTTTGATATTACTGGAGTTTGTTTCCTTCTTTGCAGGACAGGGCAGGTCAACCTTCTTGAAGCCCACGAAGGCTGGCATAACTTGCTCTGTGCATAGATAAAATTAATTTGCATGCAACTTTTAATTACAGCAAAACGCTGAGCAAAGTGCGGACCAGGATGCCGACCCGGACGCCAACATCGAGTATGCGCCACAGCCGTCCCCTGCCTCTGTGAGTACGGCCAGCAGTAGTAGCGTGTCAAGGAAAGCTCGAAGCTCGCAGCCCTCAGCTAACGATTGGGCTGCGAGAACAGCTGCCCTTGAAAAAATAGCAGTTGCTGTACAACAGCCTTCCGACGCAGATGACGCCTCTGCACATTTTGCGAAGGCTGCTGCAGCACTCATGCGACCAATGAACCCATTAAAGTTGGTTCGCTGCCAGGCTGAAATACTCAGTGTCATAGAAAAACAACTGACCGAATAAAAGTTGAAGTTAACTGTTTACTTGCTTCTTTTTGTCTGCACTCCTTTCTTCGGTCTGCGTGTGCAGTGTTTGTCTAACTCAACGTAGGCGGCCTCTCGCTGCCATGACACAGCACCCCTGCCATTGAAAAAACTACACATGTCCTCTCTCACTGCAGCGCCAAATGTGCTAGCACGTCCACGCGATGCTGGGAAGCTGAAAAACGTTGGGCGACCTCGGCGTTCGTTCTCTGCATCTGCCATTGATGCTTGTTGGGGCAGCACGTCGTTGCTGAGAAAGTTGTGCAGGACACATGCAGCATTGACGATGGCAGTGGCCCTTTCGGGAATGGCATTTATCACTGTCAGCAAACACCTGAAACGGTTGGCCAGGATTCCGAATGTGTTTTCTACAACACGTCTAGCTCTGGACAACCTGGAAAGGAACAGGCAAGTATCGAGCGAGTCATCAAGACTAAGAAGCAGATCAGTAGGCAGCAGACTTTTCTATTCTAGCTGAAACCAAGAGACTGCCAGCGATGGAAATGTAAAATTATGACTTAAGAACGCCACTTTTCAGACATTGCCGCCACGTACCAACAACTATTTTGTCGAAACCTCTCCTCCCTATAATCAATAACAGGGTAAAAACCCACAAGATGTTCTGTCTCCAGCATGCGCTCGTTGCCTTCCCCCAGGTTTGGGCTGTGTGCGACGATGTATACTATCAAAGGCACACAGCTCGTGCTCGAGGCACAGCATCTGCCAAGTTCTTAGCCTGTCACAGGCTATGGACATTCATGGGAAGTGCCATTTTGGCTAGAATAAAGCATCCTGCCAGTCTGCAATCAGTCGAGTCGTTTGATTTGGAGGACGGTGGCTTGAGAGGTAAGTCGGTACAGATAGATGATGGTAATATATTGTCCCAATATCTTCCAGCTCGGCTTACTATAGAAAAATCAGGCAAGTGATGGCAAGCAGTTTACAGACGAGTTGTTCTTGTTCTGTAAAACCTGCAGGTTTCTTGAAGTTGAATGCAAGCCAAGCAATCTTGATTTCCAGTCCTTATGATGCTGCCAGTGCTCTTTTTTTGGAAGCTGTTTGCAACAGACTAGCCAGTACTGTTGCAAACATCTCTTGAGATTCCTGATCTGTAGCAGAAATACTGCAAAGCCATTCTCAAAATTGTGCACTGTATCCAGGAAGAGATGGGTAGACTGGCCGGTTAGAATCTTTCACGTATAAAAACACATGAAGTGTTTTTATGCACAAAGTGTCCGTGAAACAGCTTTGATTGAGTAAATAATTTTTAACTTGGATTCGTATATTCACCTCTATCTGACATACCACCAAAACTTACCTGTAATTGAATATCCGCTGTTCTTCCGTGAGCTTTGTGCCACCAAACGGCTTCATGAGATTTTTTCCAATAGGAAATGCATCATCGCCCACAAAAACGGGGGGCAGAAACTTGTCTGGTGAGCTTGCTACCTTCACCAGCTCTGGCAGATGGATCTTCTTGCTTGCCAGAGCTCGTTGTAACGGTGTAGTCTGCCAGATGCCGGCGTCTCCTTGTGATCCCGGGGCACCGACGTCGGTGTAGATGAATTTGCAGTTTGCATCTACCACAGCGAAGAGTATGATACTGTGGGTCTTCTTATAATTAAAGTAGACAGATCCAGAGTTTGGTGGCTTCCAGATGCAGACGTGCTTGCCGTCGAGTGCACCGGCACAGTTTGGGAATTGCCATTTCTGGGCGAAACCACTGATCACATCCAGCCACTCCTCTTCGGTCTTTGGAGTTCTTATGAAGTCCTCCTTCAGCTCTTCGTAGAGTGCTGTGCACGTTTCATGGATGAGGTCATTGACACTTGAGTGTCCAAGCCTGAATTGACGGCTTAATGAATGATGACTCTCTCCTGTCAAATGCACGAAGAAAAATCAAGTTGCAATTATTCGTCTTATCTCAAGATGGCATGATCTAGGAAGTTCTCCAGATGCATCAGGCAGAGCCGAGGAAGGGCAGTACATTAGATACAAATAATTGAATTACCAAAGGAAAGAAAAAAGAAAGGGTAACAACAAGCCGATCCTGGTTAAAAGTGGTGGATTTAACTGAAATTGGTTTTCTAAAGGATGACACAAACACAGAAGTCTCAAACACGGCTGATTTTTTATTAGACAAAATGGAGGAGTGCACAGCACGGGACTTACAGGGATACAGGAAGAGACACTTTCCACAAACTATCATTCCCCAAAAGAAATTCGTCCCCAGACCTTACAACTTCTTGCACATAACCACCCAAGGACAGGAAACATGTCTTTAAAATGGTGGAAATTGTTCTGTATTAAAAAAAGAAAAAAACATGCCGATCCGAACACCCAAGATACCTTTCGCTATTTGGATTATGGAAAAAGAAATGCAACTGGAAATGTATTGGAAACTTGATATCCAGATAGAAGCCAATAAGATATCTTGTTCCATAAGCCAGATAGCGAAAAGTTATACTGGGTTCTGGGGCAGGGATATTGCGGAATATTTGATGATCATGTTGATGTGTATATATATATATATATATATATATATATATATATATATATATATATATATATATATATATATATATATATATATATATATATATAAATTTAATTCTTATTAAACACCAATTTGGGCCCTCTTTTTTACCAGGTGGATAGACAAATGAACCGTGCTACACACTCGGCCACCGCTACCTCGAATGCATCCCGAGCCCCTGACAACATTCGACGAACACTGCCCCGTCCAGCTATCTGCACAGCTAGCTTTTACATTCTTCCAGGCGAGAGGTCCGGGATGGCTTAGGCGGGAACCCGCCGACAAGAGAGACAAACATCTGGGGGTGATAACGGATCCGAGGTCGTAGCCTCCAGAAATTTATTACGCGCTGTACAACAAACGAAGGCTGGAGTGAAGTTACTTACCCGTTGCAAGATAACGAAGAGTGACTTGTAGCCGTGTCTCTGGTGGAATTGCTCGCCGCATCACAGTGTCCTGCCGCGCTATTCTGGGTCCCACGCGAGACAGCAGCTGCAGGAATTGCTCGCGGCTGACGCGCAGCAGCCTGCGGTACTCCTCGGGATCGCTGTCGAGGAGCTCCTCGTAAAGTTGGTTTTGCATACCGCGTTCCTTTCTGCACATCCAGTCTTTCATCCAAAGCGATCTCTTGGACCCACACGACTCATCTTCATCGCAAGATAACGCTGCGGCCATCGCGGCCAAACGACGCTTTCGATCGACCTCCATCTTGACGATTACTCTGGACAACAGTGCGCTGTTGGCGTTTCGCGGGCCTGGCGGGCCTGTGGGGTCGAGAGTTCTCCTAGTTGTCGTCTGCTCGTCTCATCCGTCGTGTGGATGCTCTCGGGAGCTCGAGGCTCCGCGGATTTGTCATCACGTGACCAATCCGTCCGCGGATCAGTCCGTCGTGTGAATCGACCATTACATACAAGTGGCGTTCAGGGCTACCTTCTTTTGCCATTTAATTTGTCATAAATGTTTAATTTATGTATGTGTCTTCATAAAAAAATATTGGCAGTTTGAAGTAAAAAAGTACCCGTAACATCAAAAACAGGCTTTTTAATGTACGCCCTTATTTGAAAACCGTATTTATTGCGAGATATAGACGTCGTTCATCCCTTCGATGAAAAATTTGTGAATTAATGCCACAAAAGGCTAGCAACAAAAATGATGCACGGCCATCTATTAGAAGCTTGTCGCATAGAAGCACCACATCTAACCTAGTGCCCCACCTTCGTCATTGTCGCTCGGCGGCTACATAAAAGCCTCTAGGCGCGACGATAGGCCAATATTTTTATCTTTACTTCTTTCGTTGACTACGTATTGCATTCCGTACAAAACCAAAGCTTATTTAAGCAGGGTACAGTAGTAATCTTTTTGTATATGAACCAACCGGGGTGCAGCTAGCATACACAACTCCTGCTGTGGTCAGAGCGGTGGTTAGCAGCAGGTGCTGCTAGTCACAGCTGTTACCGCAGCAGTGGTGATCGGTAGGACATTTTACTTCCCATGATGTATCACTTTAAGCTGAGTGAATACATCCAATACGAGTATTTTGTACTTTACTTCAAAATAGATTTTGAACTAAACTATTAAAATATATATTATCCTTGCATCAATTTGCGTATTGAAGAGAACAAAACTACACAAAGACAACAAATTAGGTCTGCTTAGGGTACTTTGCCTCTTACATGCAGTTCTATTTTTGTTTGCAGGTTCGTTAGAGAAAGCAAAAGATTAAGTGAAGTAGGGAGATCGAACGGTCTGCTTAACCCTAGTTTTGCTGTTTTACACATTGAAGAGCGAGCTCAACTGTTGGAGTTTGAATTTCAATTTTCCTGAAATCCTGTGTGTACCCCACAGTATGCAATTTGGCATTCCAAGAGGTGAATAAAATTTCAACTAAATACCTAAAACAACAATAAGAGGTGACAGAGAGGGCGAAACACTGTCGTGGGGCTCATTGTCAGGTGTTCCCTTTGGAAGAAAAAAAACGAATGCTTTAAATTATGTTCTGTAGTTATTGCAAATGGTGTTATTGGTTGGAACTCGACATCAAATAAAGTAGCTGTAAAACTCTCGTCTGGATTCAAGGTAACGTTATTGGTTCAAGAAAAGTAACCTTTCTTCTTTGACTAATTTGTATATATATATATATATATATATATATATATATATGTATTACTATTTGGGGATTTTGGATACCAATGCTGCACATGACTTCATCAGTCGCTCCACGATAATTATTAATTCAAAAATTATCCCGATATTCTTTAATAGTGCATGGTGTGTGAGGTTGCACGTCCATAAGTTTTTGAAAGAGCTGCTAAGTGCGTGAAAGAAAATAGCCGACGCTGTAGTAATCTACTCTCATGTTTATAAACGTAATATTTTAGGAAATCGTGACGCAGTACTTGTTAAATGCCACACAGTATATTCATAGACGATGCAAAAGGGCGGCTCTGACTTGTGTTCTTGCAGATGCCGGCAAATTAATTCAATATATATTCAGTAAAAGGCATCCAAACGTTGAAACATAATTTTTTTTTCGAGAAGTGAAGGAAAAATCTTTTGTTTTTCTTCACTTTTAGAAAACAACAAATTCAAGCAACACCTCCCAGATACAGGATGTTTAAATGAATAAGAGTCACGAAAACAACGAGTGGTGTTTTTTTTAATAGTTTTGTTTATTTATTTTGAAATTGCTCTCACCTTCTGAACGCAACAACTCCGGATAAAGAATGATAAAAAAGAAAAAAAAAAAAAAAACGAATGAAAAAACTAAAGTTCAAAACGGTTGAAAGATGCTTCATACACCAATCCATTTGATTGTTGGCGATGATCGATTATTTAGCGATTCTAAGCGCTATGCCGTGCAAGCAACCGTCACTCGTCTCGACGAAAACGCCAAAGGAATTGCTTTGACGACGTCAAGGCTCGCGTCCAAGAGGGCTGTCCTTAGTTTCACGGGCACTGGATGCGTTATTCGATCTGAACCTGGAGCCCGTAAGAGCGATCACTTCCTTGAGTGATCGTGGCTGGTGGAATCCATTCTCTTCACTGCAAGCATCCCTTTCTCGAAAGAGCACCAATGGAATTGCTGACATGCCATGGTTTGTGAACAAGGGCTAAACGGATATAAAGTTAGCCATATCCGAGCCTAGTTTAGTTTTGTTTGATTGATTACATCGAGAGCCACGTTCTGTGAACAAGGACGGATCCTACAACGAATGAGTTTGTCGAAGTGAAGCAGTTGAGTATGATGACTTGCTATTTTCTTTATAGTCTATATTATTGTTTTCATTTCTGTTCTGATAAAACAAAGTGTTCATCCATACAAAAAAAATGTAGTTTGTTGTAATTTAATTAAAATATGATAACTTGTTCCCGACCCTCTGTTGAGTTGTCTGCATTTTTGTTTGTTGGAAAAGCTGGAAAGTTAGATCTCTACTCTTATCACAGGTTTCGTTTTTCTGCGTTCATGTATGTGCCATATTTAAGAAATAACAACTTTTTTTGTGTGTAACGTGCGGTACAAAATATGTACACAGTGAAGGGCAAAGACAAGACCAGAACGCCTTTACCATTATTTCTTTTCCCAGATCCATCATAAGAGGACATATTTTGTTTTACAAAACACTACTATAGCTCCTAAAAAAAAAAAAAAGAAAATCTGCGCCTCTCGAAGTTTCGCTTGAAGCTTAATCCTCAAAAAAGCGCGAGCAGAAATTTCTAAGCTAATCTTTGAAACCTAAAAAAAAAGTTCAATCGTGTGCAGAAAAAAGAAAAGAAAAGAGAAACACGAATAACCACCTCTGTGCACTCGCGAATCTATGTTATTTTGTGTTTTCGCGAACAGAAAATTACACTGTCGGATAAACTACATTTCAGCATAAAGCGGCAAATGAAGAAAACTACGGCCTTTGTCCGTCAATTACAGCGAAAGAGCAAAGAACGTCTCTGCATTCCATGGAAAAAGTAAAGTCTGACGGTACGCACTGACGTGCCTCACTTTACTGGGCTGATGGCTCCCAGAGGCGTTAGATTTCGTCGCTTGCTAATTTATTTTGAAGCGAAGTATAACCTTTTGCGCCGAGATTTGGCTGTGGAAAATATATCATCAGGGCTTGCAGGGCGATTGCATGAATGAACGGCGAACCGGAGTCGTGCGTATAACTCTTCCGAGAGTTGAAAGCGCTGTGGATTTGAAAACTACATGTTCGGACGACCGATTTGAATGCCTCTTGCGCACTTGGTTCCGACGAGTACGAGCTACTTGAACAAACGTTTTCTACAACGAGAGTGAATTCTCGAGCCGCTAAACGTTGTTGCTTTAAAAGATATCCCTCTTGAGCAGACATATTCTTGCGGAGAGTTGGTACGGAGCCAAATAAGCTTAAAGCAACGGCTGCAACAGTTGGCCCTATCCTTAATGTGCAGTGAAAGGCGATATCGATCGAAATTGTATTTTACACCAAATTACCACTTTCATTTTCAGGAAGAATCTTTTAAAACCGAAGTCTATCATTGTAGCAGCCAAAAGACTTTGTACCGTGCAGCGGACACAGTAGTTGTAAGGAATATTTAACACCAAACTGAAACTATTAAAAAAAAAAAAAAAAAACGTAACGTGACATGGTTTATTTTATAAAAAGTCAGATGACTATTTATAATCTTATAAAAATTTGTATAATTGTAAGAAAAGTGCATCTTTTCCACAGTGCCTGGTGACTGCTTTGGAAATGATCCATTTTACTTTCAGACTGACCGCCATTAACAATCCCAAAAAGAAAATCAAGCAGCCCCAACGGTGCATCGTCACGGCGCTCCTCGCTTTTTTGCGTTTGCCGGCAAAATCAATCACGCACTGTAAAAGAACGGGGATCATTTGTATTTTTAATTTACAGGGTCCGATCGAGAAAAGTAAACCCTACTTTTCGGCCCTCATAAAAAACTACGCATCACAGAACGCTCAAACTCTGCAGAATGTTACCCTAGCGGTCCAAGCAAGATGTTAAAGCTTCAGAACATGAGCTTACGTGGATGAAAGGAAAAAACGAGAAATCTCTACGGGGAGGCTCTGACCACGGAGAAGCGCAGACGGAGGCCGCCTGCTTTGCGTTGCATCGCATAGGTGGCGCCACCACCTATGCGGGTTGGCGGGTTATCACGGGCATCTGCCGGGCTGGTCGGAAAATTCGGAATTGTTCTCTATCATTTCTGAAGTTTCACTTACACACTGCTTTTCACCGCAACGGAAATAAAGATTACAGGCTCTAATTTGTGATACCTCGGTGCATTTGCTCAAGCATAACATTTCTTCATGCTAATTATTTTAGCAAAGGTCATCTACTTTGCTCTTCGCAAACCCGAATACCGGTGGTGGCGCCACCTATGTGATGCAACGTAAAGCAGACGGCCTTCGTCTGCGTCTCTCCGTGGTCGGAGCCTCCCCGTAGAGATTTCTCGTTTTTTTTTATTTTATCTTTTGATCCAGGTAAGCTCATGTTCTGAAACTTTGGCATCTTGCTTGGACCGCTAGGGTTACATTCTGGCGAAGTTTGAGTGTTCTGCGATGCGTAGTTTTTTTACGCGGGCCGAAAAGTAGGGTTTACCTTTCTCGATCGGACAATGTATTATAAGAACCACAAAGACAAACAGTACAGGGAGTATACGCACTTCTCTCGCGGCTTGATTGATGTCATGGGATTGAAGCGGCGGCCGTGGTCGGCCCTGTGAAGCATAGTGTACAGCTCACGATCAAATTATTTAACCACGTCGACACTTTGTATCCTAGTTAGTTTTAGAGCG